TTTTCAGCAATTAAGGTATGACTAACAGAGTACAAAAGATGGTGATGAGGTTTCATCATTTGAATAAAGGTTTAAAAAAGGCGCAATGGCTTCCTTTAATTATTCTTTATTAATATTTCCCAAACTGTATCATTCCTATTTGTTATATGCAGTGAATATTCTATCATGAGCTCATTATAAAAAGATTTTCTTTAATGCCATATTTTTTGTCTGTCAAGTTTTACATAGCATTACACATGACAGCAGAAAGCTCATAATACACATTCACATTCCCCTCCTAACACCCACTGAACTGAGTGTTTACATTTCATACGGGGGCATTACACTAAATCAGCTACATAACTGTGTTATTTGATCAAAGACTTCATGCTTTAAATCAAGGGGGAAAGGGCAGGGTACATTTCAAATGAGCACAGCTGTGGAGTCAATGTGAGAATGAGCACCAATTCCAAGTTCCGCGGCAAGCCCTGCCCATTTTGTGTGGATTTCCATTCATGATGGTGAATGTGGTGTAAAAGCCAATAGAAGCAAATGCCCCCTCTCCCCCCTCCCTACCCCACCTCTATACTTTACAAACACAAATTACAGGGCTTTAGACTCAGTGTGAGCTGCCTGCTTAAGAAAAAGGAAGAATATTATCATGAATTGGATGCAGGAAATAAACAAAAGGACAATTTGCACTACTACTTTCTGTAATGTATCCTGGATTTTCTCATTTTAGCTAAATAATCTGGATCAATAACAGATAAACAGGATTTGGCTGTTTGTTATTTTAAGTCTATTCTGCAAACAGATTCAGTTTCTCACCTCCTTGCCTGTCCAGACAGCTCATTTCATAATCGGACAAAAATTATTAGAGTATGCTATCCTAAAGGACATAGAAGTAGCATCTGTGGCGCTGAATTCAGTATTCTTAGTTGTACAGATAACAGGATAGGAGTGAGAAACAGATGCAATCAAAGCAATGATGCTACAATTGCGGTCTGAGGTAACGCAAGTATGAGAGCCAGTGTTGAGTGAAAGGAAAGTGCAGTGACTGCATTTTAATGGGGCTTGCAGTTGCTTTGCAGAAAATTATGTATGGCAGTCACATAACCCACTGCCAAAGCCTAGTCAGACACCAGAAACAACCTGAAAAGGTGTCAGGCATTGAGCCTCCTCATCAGCAGGAGCTTGACAAAGGTAGGAATGTGATATTACTGAATAGCAATGCCCAGAATTAGCTTCAGATGCCTCCCTTACAGCTATTAAACTCAGAAGTCCTGTCCTGAGAATGGGTTGGTCTGAAAACGTAAAAGACACAGGAGAGTGAGAGGAAGGATCTTTGAGGCTTTGGGTTTCAAGTTCATATGCATATCATAAAATCATAGAATGGTTTGAGTTGGAAGGGACCTTAAAGATCATCTAGTTCCAACCCCTCTGCATGGGCAGGGACACTTCCCACTAGATCAGGTTGCTCAGAGCCCCATCCAACCTGCCAGGGAGGGGGCTTCCACAACTTCCCCGGGCAACCTTTGACAGTGTCCCACCACCCTTAAACTAAAGAATTTCCTCCTAATGTCTAACACAAATCTACCCTCTTCCAGTTTTGATCCATTACCTCTTGTCCTCTCGCTACATGCCCTTGTAAAAAGTCCCTCCCCAGTTTTCCTGTAGGCCCCTTCAGGCACTGGAAGACTGCCGTAAGGTCTCCCCAGAGCCTTCTCTTCTCCAAGCTGTCATCTTTCCATCTACTGTTTAGCTGCATTTTCTGGGAATATCTAGGATAAATGTTATCACAGCGGCCATTAAGCAAAATCAGTTGTTTAAAAAGAGGTGCATTTTGTCAGGTGAACATCTTGGATGCTCTTATTGCTTGTGATTATTGTGGGGTAAATCACAGTTCTGTAAGATCCATATTCTGTGGGACTTTTCCCTAAACATTTTCTTAATGTACTGCAAGGGAAGATGTCCACTGTGTACATCTTCTGTGACATTTAGTCTTTGTGTAAGTATTCCTATGGCATCACACTTGGTGACTACAAAGCACAGGAAACGGTCACCTGGCAGGTGATCTGATGGTCAGGCTCTCTCACGAAAAAATGTCCTTTACATGTAGAGCATTCTTAAAGAACTATATATGTAAAGACTGGAATTGTCTCAGCTTTGAGGGGAGGTAAGTAATAAAACCATGAAACTTCTAAAAGGCAAGATTAAAAGCTCTCCAGATTTTTACTGAGTTTTATCTGATTTACTCAATTTTTAGTGATGATAGTTTGGGGCCCATTAAGTAGAACTGCACTTTAATTTAGTGAGGTGTTTAATGTTTAAAGTTGACTTTCTGATACATGGTAATAGTGTAAATTTAAAATTGATTTAATCTAGTACTATTTCAATCTGGTAAAAATGCTAGGATTATATTTGAACTATAATAAGAGTAGCAATTGCAATTTTGGAAGACTGAAATACAGTGTTATACCTAAGCAGACTGCTTCCAATAGCTCACGTTCAAAAACCTAACCAGAGAGGAAAAAACAGTACAAAAAATCTCAGGTGGGAAATAAAACAATAAATATTCCATAACCTACCTATAGCTTTTTTCAGAGATTATTATGGCAATTAGGACAGTATATACAGTTTCTTTGGTATTGTCTACAGCTGCCAAGGCTATATGCTTAGTTGGGTTATTCAGTACTTAAAATTCTAAACTGTTTTGCTGTTAGAACTAAATCAAATTAAAGCCATATTGCTGGCTTAAATGTAATGGAGTTCATCCTTGTTGTGCCAGGAAGTTTTTTATATATATAATGGGAAGGAAATTAAAAGATTAAAAGAAGACATTAGTCATCATGAGGCTTTTCAGTATCATCAGCCCTACTATAAAGCCAGCTGATAAATTGCACATTATTCAGAAAAAAAAAAAAAAAAAAAGAATAAAATTAGTATAGCATTACACTAGATTAATCATAGCCTTGGGTTACTTTGACTCTATTGAAAATAAAAGCTTGGCTATTTCAGATTTTAAAGTTTCTTCTCAGCCTTTAAGATTATTTGCCTTAAGAAGCAAATAACAAGCCCATGAAGGAAGAAGACAAGATTTTTAACTGGTGGGATGGGAAAATTTTTATCATTATTTTTAAATTACAACAAGGAAGTATTGATTACTTGGATCTAGACAGCAGTAATGCTTCATAATAGTAACCTAATTAAGCTTGGTTTTGCTGCTGAGAGGTAAATGCTTGTAAAGCTTATGGCAGAGAAAAAGCTTCAATAAATAACTTGAAAATCTGTATCTTTTCTTACTTCTATAATTATTGCCTTTAATAATGGCATAATGGAACAGCAAAAAAAAATAGGTGAGGAACTGGTTAGAAGATAGAAACTACCTCTGGAGCTAATAGGGTGTACAATGGATTTTTTATTTTTTATTTTTTTTTTTACTTCTTTAAGATAATTAACTACTTAAAAGCCATTAGGCCTCTCTCAGACATAAGGGAGAATTTAAAAATCTTTTTCATGTAGTTAAGTCTGTTCAAGGTTCAGGAGCTAAAAACAGAAAAGATGAAGGTTTTTCTCAGTGCAAGTAGAGAAGAATACCTTCAGGATATTTTAACTCAAATAATAAAGTTCTGGGATCTCTCACATCAGTTTTTCTCCCTAATCCTGATGTGTACAGAGTACAACTCCCTCTGCAACTAGGAAGAAATCTGATGGCTGGCTGCTTCAAAGGGCAGAGGGCCAGTCTTTCAGGGACTCTGATTTTCCTGATTATTTATTTTTTTTTAATTGGAAAACCAGGTGATAAATGGTAATTTTAACAGAAATCACTTTTTTTCCTGAGGGAGAAAAAGGAAGACTAGAACTCACTAAAGGTGTAAATTAGCAGAAAAGAACATCTGGAAACTTTTCAGGTTTTGGTTAGAAGTACACCAGGTTTTGCCAGCTGTTTTCAGTTCCAGTTATAGAAAGTGGTACCAAAAGGAACCCCCAAAAAATGAAGAAGAAATTGGCTGAAATATACTTTTTTCTGTCAGAAGTAAAACCAAAACTATTAGGTTGAAAATTTCACTTAAAAAAATAAATCTACTTCTGTTAACATTTTTTAGTGTCAGTTTTCCAAAGAGATGTGACTGAGAAAGTGTTGTAAGTTTTTCTGCGGGTAGGTGGAACTTGTGTGTCTTATGCTTCCATGCAGCACTACTGACTGCCTAGTTAAAGCTGGTAATGGATCACATAGCAAGACTCTCAGATTTGTAGAGGTAACCTGCCTCTGGCCTCTGCTGGAAGGATGACACCTGAAAGTATTGGCTGACACTGGTTTTTTGCTGTTTCACACTGTGGCTGGTAAAACAAAAACAAAAAGTCAAAGGATATACAATTAAAGCCTACAGCATTTACACAAGAACAATAATGAAATAAACAATGTCAAAAAGGAAGCCACTGAGGAAAGAACCATCAATCTGCTAACTATAAGCACTGTTGAAAGCACAAAGTCAATGTAAATGGTACAGAATAAAGTATATAAATAGTGCACTGGAACTGAATCAAAGAATCCTACCTGCAGTTTATTTAAATTGAATGCTATTATGGAAAAAAAAAAAAAAAAAAAAAAAAAAAGACATTTAATTGCAGAGCAGCTAAGATACATTCTTCTATTTGCTGCTGCTAAAATAGAAATAGAAAAATAGAAATTGCGGTTGTTCGCATAGCATTGTCGAGGGGAAGTATTCTCAGCCTCAACAGCTCTTGTTTGATTCACAGTGTTTATTTTGGGCCGTGCAGTCCAACGTAGAACTGTTGCACAGTCCTGATAATCCACTGTTGCAGGTACAGGACTTTTCTCTTAGCCCTGGAAGGTTTAAGGTAGGAAAGTCTGGTAGATATCAATATTCTATTGATTCATGAAAAATTCAAGTCATAGTCCTCTTTCCTCTTTTCCCCGGTTGTCTTGGCTTCCTTTTGAGATTCTGCTGGAAGAAATTCTATGCCTTCATACTAAAAGTGAGCTTTTAATTTCTCAGTTTCTACAGATCAAGTGATGAGATGTCATGTGTGAACCCCCTGAAGGCTGAGAAGAGAAACTGACTTCCCCACAGAAAATTGTGAACTGCGGTTTCTTACTGGCTAGCAACACCTTTGATTCAATTTGTATGAAAATTCAATTTATTTATTAAAATGGACGTTATTGTTCAAATATTAGAAAATCCATTTCTTATATGTTCTAAGCTGTACAATTGTCAGATTTTTATGGTTTAGATTGTAAATGTGTTTTTCTCTGGCTAATTATTGGTATTATTTTTTTAATTTTGATGTCTTAAAGGCCAATGTACTATATCATAATAATAATATGAAGAACATATTTAACAGGTGTGGGAAACACTGTATACAAATGTATATTTCTAAAAGCTATTTTTATGATTAGCATGTTTTCTGTTTTAACATATTTAGGGTCAGGTGATATTGCACTTCTTTGTTCACAGCTTAATTCAAACAAGATCACAATTAAATACATTGTATGGTATTTTCCATATTTTATTTATTATATTAGCTATTGGAAATAATTGTGTGGACTAGATGATCTCTCGAGGTCCCTTCCAGCCCCTAAGATTCTATGATTCTATGATACTTATAGGGATAGCTGCTAAAAAGTGAAAAATGTCAAAATAAGAAAATCCTTGATAAACTGTGAATTGGATCCTCCTGTAAATCACTTTCTTCAGATAAGCACTCTCTGTGATGTCATTCAGTTGCAGTTTTTCTTGCAAGTCTCTAAAGGCAGTTTGTTGTCACCATATGGAAAGTTTACATGACAGTCAGTCCCCTTTCTAGCCAGGTAAATTCTTATAAACTGCCAACATCTGGCAACCTTAGTTAGCCTACTTCTTACTTTTTGGTTTATTTTCTGGCAGTTCGGATTATTTTCCACTCCTGAACCTCTAAAGCCCTCCTAAAAGCCTGCAGTTGGAGTAATTAATTATTACACATGATGTAGTATAGAATTTCTTAATAAATCATATTTCCCTTCAAACAGAATGGATGCATTATTTCTCTTGTGTTACTGAGATATTGGAGGTATCAAAACATATATGATGTGGGCACAAAGTCATCTTCTCTAATGAAAGCATTAAATTGTTCACTATCCCAAAGCTAGACCTCCTCAGAACTGTAGATGACATGAAACAAGGAGTAGATATTTATTTACCACATTCTTATGTGAGATATACTCCTGTAGAAAGAGACATATCTTTAAAGTGATTGCGGGGAGGGGGGAAATATTCAATAGCTACTGCCTTCCAAGAGGGAGACATGCATTTAATAGGTACCTGACACAGTCAAATGGAGCTCAGCCCCAGCTGTGAGCCAGTTTGCTGCACAGAGCCCTGATGTTCACTGGTATCCATGGCCAAGGGTTATTTGATATCATGCAGCACCACAGAGGTGAACCCTTGCCTTGCCCTTTCAATCATTCTTTATAGACTAGAAGCAAGAGAAAACAAAAGCTACCAGAGAGACGCTTTATTTGATCTCTATAAAAACACAGCAGTTTCAGAGATGATAGGTTCACCTCAAACAGCAGGGGTATGAGAAGTTGGGAGCTCAAGGTTTCCAGTCAGGTTTCCAGCATGGAGACTGTCATCAAAGAAGGACTGATACTCTTCAAACACTTGGAAGAAGACCGTACATGTGAATTTTATTATCTATTAATGAGTGAGAATTTACTTCACTAGGAGACTAAATAACATAGCACTCTCCATTATGTTTGTGTATCTTATATTTAGCTTATCCATTGTCTGTGGAGTTACATGGTTTACCTAAGTGCTGAGTAGTACCTAGCTACTTAATTAAGGAAAGAATAAAACATGTAGTTACACCTGGGCATAAAGAATTGCAGCTTCATAATCTACCAAGGTTCTCCCAGAAAAGTACAGCAAAAAATATTACTTCTGCATAAGTGAAATGTTAGGTCAAAACAAAGGGTGAACATTTCTCCACATTTTTTAATTGTAAAAATGCAAAAAGAATTGCCATTTGGGGATCTCCATTTTTGGCTGATAGTTTAAAAAAACCAACTCCATACCTTAGCCATTCAACAGGAATTTTGCCCATTTATGCAAACTGTTGGCTGACTTAAAAGATGCAGAATGTCATCCAAGGAGATGAGTTCTGATGTTGGTGTTAATAAACTACACATGAGAAACAGCTAGGTGTATAATCTCTTCACTACCTCCATCCCAAATGAGTTAATAATCACAGAAAGAATGGTATTAGATTTTTATAAATTATTTCAAATCATTACTCTTAGATTATTCAGAGAAATGAATGCACCATCATGTTTCACACCACAGTTTAAGTCCTGAATATATTTTGAACACAAATAGACACCTCTGATAACACCATGGTGCTCTATTTCATTTCCAAGCCAGAAGCTTGTTGTGCCTTGCAGTCAATTCCTAGTGAGGTTTCTTAATGGCATGTTTGCTTCAAATCTCAACAGAGGATGCTGGCAGCTTCAGCAGAGCCTGATAGTTCTCTACTTTTCATGTATGTGGTACGCTCGGTGTTGTTTACCACCACTACCTGTACTTGTTTTACATGGGCTTTGTCAGTTGTGGAGGTTTTTAACATTGCTTATCCCTTGCAAGATGGAAGAATAGGAAACATAAAGAAACTTGTCAATCAGTGTGGATAGTCAACAGTAATATAGAATCCTTTATGAACAGTCCTGAACTAAACCAAGTATTTTTCTACACAGTCTTATATGCTCTGTGTATTTCAGATACTTGTTTCACACCTGTGCAGCTGCTTTAAAGCTTTAAAGTTTGGATCAAGAAAAAAATATTTTTACTTTTGTAAACTCTTGTATTACATATTGTTGTGATTCTTATTAGTTTTCTCTGTAGATCCATTTTCAGTTCCGAAAAAAACCCAACATTGTACTTAAACTATGTAGATAGCTACAATCTTGTAAGCAGTCATATTTTTAATAGGTGCCACTGCAAGTTAGAATTAAAACATTCAGGATTTGCCCATGTAGAGCAGATTGATGGTTCATTGCAATTTTCTTTAAAATGTTGTAACATAATTTTTACATGTCTGTAAATAAATATTTTCTCTGATTTATGCACTAATTAATTTTTGTAATTTCTTCTCATTAAATGTATCTGGAAACATTCCAGGAAAAATAGCTTTCTTTCATGGAAAAATACTGTTTAAAGCTCTGTAATACAGTCATGCTTCACAAACTTTGCGAGCAGAACAAACAGAAAAAAGCATCCATAGTATGAAGTACTTAAGTAAGACAGAGAAAAATATGGTAAATACTACAATAATTTTAAAAGTTTCAGAAATGTTAAGGATCAGGCCTGTGTTAAAAATTGTGACAGACTTCCTAAAAATAGGAAATTCTTCAGTGGGCTGAGAGAGAGAAAGATAGATGCCCAGTGGTGATATTTTGTTTAATTTGAAGAATGCATTTTTTTTTACTAGAAGAGGGGAGATTTAGGTTAGACATTAGGAAGAACTTTACTGTGAGGGTGGTGAGACACTGGCACAGGTTGCCTAAGGAAGTTGTGAAAGCCCCATCCCTGAAAGTGTTCAAGACCAGGCTGGAAGGGGCTCTGAGCAACAAGATCAAGTGGGAGGTGTCCCTGCCCATGCAGAGGGGTTGGAACTAGGTGATCTTTAAGGTCCTTTCCAATTCAAACCATTCTATGATGATTATATGAAGCTTCTAAGTTTCAGGTATCACTAAAGTTGCATGAATATAGCTTATGAATACCATGTTAATAACTGTTATAATTTTCTGTTCAGTAGTCAAACCCATTTCTTATTCAGTTTATTATTCCATTCACAAGATATTCCTATACAGACAAGCTAAGGAAACCTGGTCCACAAAATCTACGACAACATTTTTAAATTATCTTGGAATTGTTGGGAAGCAAGGCTATTTTAAAATACATGTGATTTATACACAGCACATAATTTTCTACATTAAATGTGTTACCTTTATTGCTACAGCTATACCAGATTTTGCATAGGTTTGTAAACTTTATAAACAGCTCACTCTGATTATGCACGATACAGGGCCAATTGCTCATTCAGAAGGAAACCTGGTACAGATTCAATGGTAGCTGATTAGAAAAATCTGTAATTCTTTTTTAAAGGATAAGGTAATCTGAGAACTTCAGAAGGTTCCAGTTTTCATGTTTAAAAGGAGCTGCAATACTCTAGAAAAATTAAATAAGAAATACATCTGATTCAGAGGAAGATGATAATAAAGTAAAATAACTGTTTTCTGTACTTGTCTGTCAAATTCTTATGTAATAAACATAATAAAAAAAATCACTTTGATAATCTTAAATTTTGCATTGGATGATTCTGGTCAGAAGGGCAGTGATTACTGAAATTAATTTATCAATCAGCATAGAGCAAGCGGGAAGAACATCCTGCACAGTTAAATGGATAAAAGACAGTTGGACACAGTCCTTAGCTGACTTTTGGCAGCCACCAGCCAGAAGAAACCTCTTTTCTTCTAATTTATGGTGTCCAACTGTCTTTTATCTTCATGACACACACTACAAATAACCTATTCCTAGAGAAAGGGAAGCGTAGCCAAGGATATGATGTACATCAGGTAAAACCAGCACAAGTTAGCAAGTTAGTACTGTAACTCTCAGCGTTTCTCACCAATTAAATGTTCTAGCCATGAGGATGAGAGAGATAAAGTAGAGGCACCTGTGTACAGCATTTACAGCCTATTCTGGTGATTCATGTCTTTACAACCACTTCTGCAAAACTGATAAGAAAACCCGCTGAGAAACTGCTTAGGAAAAACACTGAGTGCTAAAGGAAATAAACAGTTCAGCTTTAGTGTGGTGGAGTTATTAACTCTTTAAAGACAAAAAGTGCTTGATGTTTTTCCTTGCTACTTATTTTGGGGTTGCTTTAGTAAGTATTGATTTGGTTAACCTCTCAAAGAAAGATTGTTTCACCCTTGTGTGAACAGAATTAATCTGCAATTATCACATTGTGTTTTAACAGAAAACATAGGTCCCTTATTATTCATTCCATATAAATTCAACTAACCAAGCAAAAAAAAAAATAAATTCTAAAGGTTACTTTTAC